CGTTTGGTAGCACGCGGTGGTATATGCTGCTTTGCGCGCAACAAATGCCGCACTTTCAAATAAAGTCGCTAGGAACAGCGGAGATCCCAAAAAGTAAACAAAAGTAAAAGTCTAATATCTTGAAAACCGGTGAATATTTTTCGATGAAATTTGGTAGATATTCGTTTTCGCTCTTTCTGAACCGAGCGACATCACTTTCATGCCAATTCATTAACTTTTTTGAAGGTGGGAGGGTCCCTTTAACCTTACAGCTAACAATTAACCGATCAAAGCATTACATTACAATTACCCTCTCCTACCACTCAAACAGGCATTTCCATAGCAGATGCCACGTAAAGAGCACAGTAAATGCCATAGCTCTCCACTATCTAAAAATGACATCAGGCGGGCTGCGTTTGCTGCCGGCTCGTGTCGTCTATCCATCATAGAGCACGTCCAACACTCTATGTGACGTGTCGAATTACCCAAAATGGGATTGGCTCATTTGTTACCTGCAAATGTTCTCTTCCAATTTTGGCAGTGCACTTATACACCTCGGACGGATATCGCAGGAGTGCTACGGCGTCGGATCTCAGCCTGTTCGGATCAAAATGGCAAGGCGCTCCCTCACCGGGAGTGCCCAGAGGTGCAGATTTAGGTAAAGGGGTCTCAGCTCCACAAATATATGATGCCTGCCCAGGTCACTCAGGCGCAAGCCTGACTTTTTGCTCGGAATTTCACGCAAAGCGCCCGACGGTGTTGGCAATTTGCTTTGTTTGTGCGGCTGTCGCGGCTCATGATAGCGCGTTAGTGACTGTTATTAATGCTCTACTCTGACTTGCAGTAGGAGGCCATTGTTCTCGGCGCCTATGAAAGCCGGCGCGTGCCGCTTGTCTCCGGGCACCCAGCAATTTCTTTGTCACTCATATTTCATTATGAAGCGGCGCATTTATAACGGGCACTCAGATGCCGGCCTAAAACAAAAAATATGTTCATGTATGCAAATATGTGCGCGCACCAAATTACCGCGGTACAGCGGCGGCCACTCGGTGACAGTCGGCCGGGTGGGGGCGGCGGCGGGGGCGGCGGCGGCGGCGGCGGCGGCAGCGGCGGCGGGGGCGGTATTGTCTCAGCGTGGCGGACGACATTCACCCAACTGTCTCCGGTCAGCCAGCACCGAAATCCTGCTGAATGAGCCATTCGGTATGCAACGAAAGCCTTTCGCTGACGATGGCCGGCTATTGTGCGCGCTCGCTGACACTTTATTGCATGCTGGACGATGGTGCATTGCACTGGAGCTGAAGTGAAACGACCGCTGCTGGAGAATTTCGGTGCTACTGCATGCCAGATTGATTACTACATTCAACACCACTGAGCAGTAGACAAAGCTGACAATGTAGCCACCGATGGGAATACACTGAATGGTATTCATGCGATTCATTTATCTATACATGGCAGAAATCACGCCTGAGATTATTCAAACCATACCTATTTACTTGTGATATCATTCACACATCATCTTCGCTTCTTTTATGTAAATTTATGGTTCGTTAAAAGCTTTTGCTGCAGCTTATAAGGCCAGGCAAAAGCGTTTTAAGTGCACACTAATAACAGTGCTACGCGTTAGCTGATTTTAATCTAAAATATCGCGTACTATTTCACATGGATGAGTAAGATGTATTTGCTAGCGCAGCTTTTGCAACTTTTGTGTTTGTACGCTAATTGATTATGCCATTTTTGCATTCTCACCAGTAATACAACTGAACAGTTTTTTGGCAGGGTTCCTGTTGGCAAAACATAAATCTCAAGACGTAGTTGTTAATGCTCTTAACGTAAATAACAATTCTGAATCAATTAACACATGATTAATAATTTAATGGTATGTACTGTGCAAAGAGTACCTATGCATCATATTAGTAATTCAAGTACAACTATCAAACTTTCCCGAAGAATAACAAACGCATAGCGCAGCCATTTCTACCTAGCACGCACATGACAAAGTCACAACAATGGGCGTTATTCACACTGGCCATTAACAGTGACTTTAAGTTCACAGCTCGCACAATTAACGTCTCGGGACGGACGCAGAGGCACCCACAGACAGACATTCACACACCCCTCGGCACGGCGGCCCCACGCCGAGTCTATAAAGTCAGCTGTAATTCCGACCCGGCTACGGCCATCCACGCACCGCGCGGCCGCAGACGGCGCCCGCGGCCCGCGGCCCGGCGCCCGGCGCCTCGACTGCGCCCCCAGGACCGCGTATGGGTGGGCGCAGAGAGCCGAACTGGAACGGGATCTGAGCCACAACCGAGCCGTCTACTAATTTACGCTTTTCATTTAGTGGCCGCTAAAGTGATGAGGCCTGCAGCGGGCTGGCGCCGTCACTCAGAGGGATGGCCACGATGCAGCGCGATCGAGGAACCAGGTAAGAGGATTACTCTCAGACGAGTGCTGGCCATCATCATTGAAAGCCTATAGATAGGACCAGTCGGATCATGAAAATCTTTGATGTCCCGCCGACATATACACTTTTGAAACTGTGTCTTGTCGACAAGGCTACTGACAGGCGAACATTGATCAAACACATTGATTTAATCTGATGCATGACGCATCAACGGTGGCTTACGACACCAGCATTTATGGTAAAAAGTAATGACGCTCTTGTCACTATTGTTTCGTGTCATTATTAATTATCGTAAATTAAAAGAGCGATTGTGAACGCATACTCTTGTCATGATGTAACTGACCACATCGCATATTCTAGGCACTTTGGAATCTGTAAGCGTTGATTTATGTTCATGCCCCTGTCCCCTCCTCTGAAAATGACAAATGCCGGCGAGTCTGTCACATTTATCGGTACCTATATCAAAACAACAAAGTATGCTTTACTCTGCTGATTCGTTCATAGTTAGAATAAGCATTGCACACAGTTTATCAAAACAACAGCTTCAGAATGTCTTTGTAGGTATGTATATGTTGCTTACTAATTCCCTACTTTTTTGCTATTCTATAGCAGCCATATTTTGACAGTACGATGGCCAATTACATTGATCGCAGGCCGCACTTCCGGTAAAAACTGCTTTTCTAGCGTCTACCCAGACATGTTCGTTTTCTGCTGCTGCTCGAAGCTGCTTGCAATTCAGACTGCTTGGCTAGCACGCTTATTTCCTATTATCATTCCTAGATTATTAATGAGGTCATTTGCTGATGATAAAATGTGTTAATAAATGAGGAGAAAAATGCCGTTGTTTAGAATGAGTAACCATTCACACACATACACACACCTTTATACTTTTTACATACACTTTTGTGCCTCACTTTTTTGTTACCTACAGTACGCGGTATTGTGATGAGTCTTATCTCGCAAGTACAGCACTAAATTTCTAAGAATATTATTCTATCTTATTTGCGTAAAACTAATACGATATGGTATGACTATTCTATCAATACCGTTTAAAAACATTTTTATCTGATTAATGCACAAGAGAATTTCCGTGTCTTTACCCCAATGATCAACGTGAGCTGCCTGTTTGCTGACCTCAGTGGTGTCCTCCGAGCCCGGTGGAGGGATGTTTGTGTATTGGCAGTCGCTGCAACCGATCGCGGTGACGCCGAGACGGACGCTCTCAGCATTCTGTGCAGGCGACACCGCGGCCGACAATTAATTGAGCGCTTATCTCGAGCGGGCGAATAAATAGCGTCCGCCGAGCGGCAGTCGCACTCGGGCCGCGCGGCCGCCATCGGCGCCGCGGTCCACGGCGGCCCTTTCAACCGCACTAATGAGATCTGATTATACAAACAAATGGGTAAACAAATTTATATATCGGTCCGCAATGGCTCCGGCTCCCTCGATCCCCTAATGACTGGACCGACTTTTTGTCCGCTTTGCAGACAGAAACGGCGCATGTATGCTCTTCTCGTATCGCGAGACGTCTTTAGGTGACGGGGATGCTGGCATACTCACTGTGAGAAAGGTCCGATCGCCGAGTCTCCCGCTTAGTTAGTCGAGACCAAAGAGGAGTGCCGCACCATCCGGTTCAAATTAGACTGCAATGCCGATAAACTGTCCTCAGCAGGTGAAGAGCCCGAGCGACGTCCCACGTACAGACCAGGAATGACCAGACCACGACCAGACCTTCTCTTTAATGCCGAGATCCAGACTTCAGACATGCAGACAGCAGCCCAGCTGCGAGCCGAGGTGCATACCCGGGCTCGCCACTAGCACAGACAGCCGGATACCGTCCACGGCAGGTGCACAGTGCTACCTGAATGGGCGGCTGCAGCCCACACCGGGGCGATAATTGTGCGCCGCTCGCGCTCGCCGGCTTCTGCGGCCGCCGCATTATACCGGGCACGTGCCGGGCCGGCTATTAGTGGCGGTCCGGCCGGTTGGCTGCCACTCAATCGGCCGAGGGCGCGACCCGCCACCGCTGCTCGCCATCATATTAGTGTCCGAGCGAAATTGCAGGTGTTTTGTTGGGATGACAGGGCAGGATGGGATGACAACTGGAAGGAGAAAGGGACGAGTATTTTGAAGGGTTTCTAAAGAGCGTTGTGCCTTTTGTAACCAGACGCATTAGAAATGTCGGAATAGTTTTTGGTATGGGGCGTCCCGCAGCTATCTAGAGACATAATTGCCCTTGCCCTAGGAAGCATATCCTCAATTCAATTTGATGGTTATTGCTTCACATTCAGCTTAGTAGCTAAGGAATGATAATAAAACTTTATCTACTAAATTAATGTGAATGGTGGCATTAAGTGACATTCTGCCATGCACTTCCACATAATAAATGTTACCGATGAGCAGGTGATATGTATAACCTGTAACTAATCATTATTCAAGCACGCACTCGATGTAATTTACAATACAAAAATGACCAATTGCATGCCACTCTAGGTGACAGAACGCGCACGTCCGATCCCTATCCTCACAGGGTCGACACGCACGGTGTCGTGTGCGAGGGCCGGCCGCCGCCTCCGCCGGTCGGCCGGCCGCCGCGCGCAGCTGCGCCCCTCACCTGCTGGATCTCCGAGCTCTCCATGGCCTGCAACATCGGGCCGCCCTCGGCGCGCGCTCTCAGCTGGGAGGCCACCGCGTGTGCCACTGCGCGCCCGGCCCGCCGACACCGGACCACTGCACGGGCTCATACAACAGGGTCGCACGCGCGCGCTCTCGCTCTGCGGACGGCTGCGGCGTGCTGCTCACGCCAGTTGCACCTGTACATTACTCAACACGGCGAGCTGCTGTAGCGGCTGGCCGGCCGGTGCCGCCGCCGCCGCGCCGAGCCGCGCCGTTACGTCACGCTCGACCAATCAGCGACGGAGGTCAGTCGGCGCCGGCCAATCACGGCTCAGATCCAATCGGCGGCATCCAGCGCACATTCATTCATAGCGGCTATCGGCAGAGTCGAGCCAGCAGTGAGCTGCTGCACACTGCCACGGAAGGCCCGTCGTCGGTCCGCGTCGGCCGACGGACCCGAATCGGCAACCGTCGCCGCCGACGGGACCTCGACACACGCTCCCCGGCTCAGCTGGAAACTGGGCCAGTCAGCTGGTTCGGCACTAGAGAGGGCGCCAGCTGAGGGATGCATGAAGGGAGGGTAGGTCAGGAGCAGACATGGGCTGACCGAGTGCAGCATTCTGGTATTGAGTAGCTACCAGACTAAAACAGCCAGATGACAAACTCAGTAACACGTTGGGCAGACTCGCCACTGCTTTGCTGTGTTGTCTGTGACCTTTGTGTGCGTGTCTTCACGTCCTCCCGGGCTGCCGTCCGACCTCAGCCCACTATCACACTCATCTGGCGGCCGGCGCGGGTCGGGGTGTGTCCCGCGTACGGGGCTGATGATCCCAGTTTGCGCCGCCGGCCCTGCGCCCCGCCCCTCTCCGCCACTGGGACTTCCCGTCCCCGGAGCCGTCTCTCACATCAACATCGGGTCGGTATGGACATGCTAGAAATAAACATTATTACTTACATGTCACATGACAAAAATTTATATAATTTTCCAAGCATTTTCCGTCGGTTTGCGGCCCGAAAGGTTTGTGTTTGGCTTGAAGATTGGAGCAGGTCTGAGACTGAAAGATGCTTGAAGATTGGAACGGGCAAAGAAAATACAAGCCACTCATCTGTTGGTTGCCGCGAACCGCTGACGACGTCACGACGCAGCGTATTCACCAGAAGGAAATGGACTAAGAAGAACTGGCCTGAACAGTAACTATTAGCCCATCGCATGCGTGGAGACTGCTACGCTGGCTAAGAACACATCCTCATTTCAGCGAGACTGCAACGCACCACAACAAGAGCACAGCTCGACCTATCCGGAGACTGCAGCAGAGAGTAGAAAAGTATCCTCAGTTTTTTATTCGGTCATTGAACATTTTCGTCCAGAGCCGATGTCGGTTATGGCTATTTCAAAGGCAGTGAGTGAATTGACAAACACATTTGACTGATTTACAGGTGTAACGAAACATAATAAAACAACAGTCCTCTATGCGCTATGGCTAGTATTATGCAATATGCAAGTGAATGGAAACCTTTGCCAGACGATAAAATCAGACATTTACAAAATTTCGTTTCACATTCCAACATCACATCAGGTGCGTATCATTATCGATATAAATATTTAAAGACAATTCAGTCAATTTCAAATGGATGTGCGCTCTACATATATTACGACGGGATAAACAATGCGTTTTGATTATTTTCATTAATCACGTGCCAGCAATGTATTGCTGCAGATTTGTTTATGGCTGATAACATTTCGTTGGCTTTAGCTAGTCTCACGCTTATAACATTATACGAGCAGCAAGAAAACAAATGACATTGAAACGCCCTTAGGATGGAAAGTCTTTGATAAATATGCCGGCATTTGACCATCTGATAATACTCCATTGTCAAAAACACTTAACGTTAAACTTCATGTAAAACATTCATAAAAAGTGAAAGCAGGATTGAAAAAAAGAGACGAAGGACAGAGGACAACCAAATATAAAAGGATGTAGGAGCAGAACAAGATCCGCACCGAATACTTTAATAGTTCGGTGACTCGCACAGGGAAAAGAGAAATACTATGCAGAAATACGAGAAAGAAAGAAAGAATACAAGGAAGAATGAAAGATAGATAGATAGATAGATAGATAGATAGATAGATAGATAGATAGATAGATAGATAGATAGATAGACACAGATAGATGGATGGATAGATAGAGAGGGAGAGAGAGAGAGAGAGAGAGAGGGATGACGAAAAGAAGGAATTACTGAGCTTTGTAGAGAGTGATTGGTGACAGAGGCATGGCTCAGCCTGTCCACAAGGCATGTTTAGTTGTTTGATTAATCCTCTCATTGTCCTAGCGTTTATCTGGCGTCCGTCCCGCGAAGGCAGGCCTTCGGCGTCCAGCATAAAGATGAAAGGAATGCAGGTCTTTGATGGTTATCACCGTCAAAGCCCGCCAAATGGACAGATGTATCGGTGTCATTGTGGTCCATCTAAATCTGCCCCCACTCCAGCCGTCTTAGCGTCAGCCGCCGCCGAATAGCCGCAGATTAAAACGGGCCCGAGTGCCTGTCATGGCTCGCATTGAGGCCTCGAATAGCTAATGCAGTCGGCGCCAGCGTTGATCATGGCATTCCGGCGGCGCGGCTGGCCGGCGGGCACGGCCGGCGGCGCGTGGCTCCGGCGTGCTCCCGCCGTAGCTCGCGTGTGGCCGAGGGTGGCCGGCGGCGGCTGCGGACCGCCGCAGCTCGCGCGCCGCCGCCCCCCGCGCAGCCGCCGGCCGAATTACGGAGCACCGGGGCACGGGTCGCCGAGCTGGCAGCCGCGACACGAGCGCAGCCGGCGTCCCACCGGCCCGTCGCCACAAATATAGTAAAACAAACAGTATTTCGCGGCTTTAGCCTCGGCGGCACGTATGTTATCTTTATGGCTCGTAACTCGCTGTTAAACGGATTACATAGCAATGCCACCCCGAGCGGACCGGGTTTATCATAGTAGATTACACACATACATCCAAATCAGTTTTCTTTATCGACGGAAGCGTGGCTGCCCGGCGAAGCAGGCCGGGTGGCTCGCTGCAACGCTACATCTAGCGCGCCGTCGGCGGCGCAGACCATAATTCACAGCCAGACTAATTTAGCGATAAGGCTGCCAAAACGGATACATTCGGCGCAGCGGTGGGCTGTACCACAGGTGAAATAGCGCCCCTGCACCAAATGATGAAACTATGCGACTATATTAGATTTTCATTATCGCATTTTCTCGCCAAGGTCCTGCAGAGATCCGCTGAGGCGATGTTTTTATTGGCCGAATCAGAGAGCTCCGGTCCATGACCTAAGAGGGGGCGGGAACGAATACAGGTCCAAATGAAGTTGCGGGTATATTTCATACGGGGCCGGCCCACGGTGCCTTGTATTCGGGCTTAAATCTTCATTGGTGGTCGCTGGCGCGCAGCTCTTGGGTCGTTATTCGTGATTAAGATAATTTGTTCAAGGCGGCCGGTGCAGCCGGCGGGCCCTCATTGGCCATATCGCCGCCTATCGACACCGATTGCAGGGCACCGCGGCGGCGGCCGGGCTCGAGCCGTGCCACCCACACGCGCGCGGCGGTGCGGCTGAGAGGGACAGGATGGTCGTCACGGCTAGACACCGTGAGGGCTCGGCGGCGTGGCGTCAGACATTCTGAGCATGACGGCAAAACAACGAAACGACTTGTGGCAGAACAGACAGAGCCAGCATTGTATTTAGCTGTTCACTGCTCAGTCATTGAAAGACCAATCAGACCAGACAGTCCAGAAATCTCACCAGATTGGACAGACCAGACTTATCAGGCTCATAGACTTGTTACGTTAGTCAGTCTTTTATAGACGGCGCATACCAGACAGTCCTGACAGAAGGCATGGATTGGAGAGTCCCGGCAGACTACATGAGTCAGACAGTCTCGACACATTAGACAGCCGAGACAGTCCCGCCGGCCGGCTCTGGGCAGACAGGTGCCGCCGGGACGCCGCCCACGCCGGTCAGACACCAGATGCCAGGGGTGCCTTACACAGCCTGCAGTTATATGCACATTGGGTGAAACGGCGTCAGCGTGGCGGCTCATTTAGCTATGAAGAAGTCATCAAACAGTCGTAAGCCGAGATATATCGGAGCTGAGGCGGCCCAATGCGTATTATCGGAATGAAACCTGACACCACCGGTGAGACATTGGAGGGGATTATCAGCACAAGACCACTTGCATACTAATATGAGAGTATTTCACGATGAGTGTCAATAACCATAGCACAATAAAATAGCAATATTCATTATCGGATATACACCGCACATAACATGTCCACGGTTACGACTGTTTTTACAGTTGGTTCGCCACCCATGCGACCACACATCATTTCTTTTTAGATTGCAAAGGGCTGCATTCCGGATATCTCATATGGTGCCCAACCGAGGTGGGTTGAGCAAATGTTTGTTGGGCACCTAGTGAAAGCTCTTTATAGTGGCCAAACATGAAGTAAATATTGCACTTTTGTCTGCTTCAGGAAACAACTGCCAATAACAATAAGTAGATAAATATCCACCACTCGCATTTCCAGCAGTTTCCATTCCAAAGAAACTTCTACAAACAACTGGAACTACGTAAACATAACTAATTTCGGTGAATACCGATTTCCTTGAAATCTCTGATGGTATACCGATTACCGAAACATAACGGCCAGCAAGATTACTGTTGAATGTAATCCAGATCACGCTACACATTTTAATTTTGTGCTGAAAGTCCTACAGCTATAACCAGAGATGCTCAACTTATTGCACTGCAACAAGTGAAAACATTTCATTCAAATCACTTCACATAAATGCACTACGCATTCAGTAATCGGAGATCCACTTTGATGGACTAAAGGCCACCAAAAATTATACCCAATGCACAAAGCACATTTGGTTTTTTGGTTACTACAATAGGTACTACATGCATCTGAGGTGCTTGATCTGAGGTGGGGAGAGTGGTTTTATTATCACGCTTCAAGTATCAAAGTGGTTTTATAATCACGCTTCAGGTCCAGCAGCTGTCGTATTCCGAGCCACCCCTATACACCATCCTGCTATTCCGGCCGGCGCGCCGCCCGCCCGACGCGGCGGCTAGGCACCGGGCCACCGGGCAGCCAGAGTCGGGTTTTTATCGCTGCCGGCTGCGTGTGTCGCCGCTCTGAGGACAAATAAACAGCGCTGCGGCGCCGACTGGCACGCTGATCCATCATAGCTAGCGCGCC